AAGAAACTGTCTACATGTGTCGCCGTCCGCACGCAACTCCGTAGCTACAGCGACGTTCTTCCATTTACCCCAGAGTATTAACTCTGGTACCCATTTCCTAGAGGTCTGGTGAACCCCGGGAACCGCCCGGTTTCGAACACCGACCGTGGCTGCAGTGAGTAACAGCTGGATTTGAAAGCGAGCCTTCTATCGATGGCGCTAACGCAGCTCCTTTTATATATATATATATATATATATATATATATATATATATATATATATATATATATATATATATATATATATATATATATATATATGTGTGTGTGTGTGTGTGTGTGTGTGTGTGTATGAGTGTATGTATGTGTTTGTGTGTGTTTGTCTATATTTTTTAAATGCATGTACTTATGTAAAAATATGCAACAACATGTAAGCGAATGTAGAATTAAGACCATGATATCACAGATAAAGATGAGATGTTGAGAAAGTAAAGATTACAAGCAGAAACAACGAAATAACCTTGCTAACCACTAAATAAGCACTCATCCAGCAGGATATATCTCGTCCTCCTCCTTGTCTTTCTTCTCCTTGTTCTTTTCCTCCTCCTCCTTCTACTTTCCTTCTTTTTCTTTTTCTTCGTCTTCTTCTTCTTTTTCTCTTCCTGCTCCTCATTGTGCTCCGCCAAATTCTCCTTTTTTTTTCTTCCTCTTCTCCTCCTCTTCCTCATTGTCCTCCGCCAACTTCTACTTCCTCTTCTGTTTCTTTGTCTTTTTCTCTTCCTCCTGCTCCTTGTCTTCCTCCATCAATTTCTTCTTCTTCTTCTTCTTCTTCTTCTTCTTCTTCTTCTTCTTCTTCTTCTTCTTCTTCTTCTTCTTCTTCTTCTTTTTCTTCTTTTTCTCCTCCTCCTCCTCTTCTTCTTCTTCTTCTTCTTCTTCTTCTTCTTCTTCTTCTTCTTCTTCTTCTTCTTCTTCTTCTTCTTCTTCTTCTTCTTCTTCTTCTTCTTCTGATTTGTCTTCATCTTCTCCTCCTTCTCTTCCTCATTGTCCTCTGCCTACTTCTTCTTCTTCATGTACTCCCCCTTTTCTCTTCTGTGTGTGCCTGGTCTAAAACGCATGTTGGCGATCACGACTCCTATACACTCTCTGTCAAATGTTATTTTGGCTATTACCAAACAATGTAATGCAGAGCTGTTCAAACTGGTCTCATACACACGTATCTGTCTACATTTGTTTTGTCCCATTTCCCATACAAAACGAAATTTGTTCGATCCTCTCAACAAAGTAATGGGTTTGCATACTTTAAAAAAAAAAAAAAACCCCAACTTTAGAATACCATCCTAATGGCGATCCTAATCATAAATTACAAGATCTTTAGTATGGAATTTAAAATGTTTTAAAACCTTCGAGGCTAAGAAAGTACACAGTCCACATGGGAACCACTTGCTAACCCACTTGCTAACCCACTTGCTAACCCACTTGCTAACCCACTTGCTAACCCACTTGCTAACCCACTTGCTAACCCACTTGCTAACCCACTTGCTAACCCACTTGCTAACCCACTTGCTAACCCACTTGCTAACCCACTTGCTAACCCACTTGCTAACCCACTTGCTAACCCACTTGCTAACCCACTTGCTAACCCACTTGCTAACCCACTTGCTAACCCACTTGCTAACCTACTTGCTAACCTACTTGCTAACCCACTTGCTAACCTACTTGCTAACTCACTTGCTAACCCACTTGCTAACCTACTTGCTAACCCACATCTGTTACATTTCATTTGTCTTCCACGCACTGGGTAAATGGTGCTTGACCTATGGACACTGCATGGCTGGCGAGGTCAACTCCAAACCGTTCGCCTTTACCTGCCCTGACATTATTCTCTGTCCGAGACATCAACATTCTCCTCATAGATGTGCTCTGTCCCAGACATCAACATTCTCCTCATAGATGTGCTCTGTCCAAGACATCAACATTCTTCTCATAGATTTTCTTTGTCGAAGACATCAACATTCTCCTCATAGATGTGCTCTGTCGAAGACATCAACATTCTTCTCATAGATGTGCTCTGTCGAAGACATTAACATTCTTCTCATAGATGTGCTCTGTCGAAGACATCAACATTCTTCTCATAGATGTGCTCTGTCGAAGACATCAACATTCTTCTCATAGATGTGCTCTGTCGAAGACATCAACATTCTTTTCATAGATGTGCTCTGTCCGAGACACCGAGACATCAACATTCTTCTCATAGATGTGCTCTGTCCGAGACACCGAGACATCAACATTCTTCTCATAGATGTGCTCTGTCGAAAACATCAACATTCTTCTCACAAACCACACGTCCATGGCCTCGTGCCTACTCAACATTTTGCTTCTCACTACTAACCAACTGCATACACACAGACAAGAGGGGTTGCTCGCTCTTTCCGGGTGGGGGGGGGGGGGGGGGGGGGGGGGGGTGGGGGGTTGCTTTCCACGGAAATAAAATCACACATAATGGTGCAAACAAGTGCCAACAGGGTTTGTGTCAATGATTGAAGGTAGACACCTGGATTCAATGTGCACTTCTAGACCAGGGATACAGCTACACGCCACTTGATTCCTCCAAGAGAAAAGACAGCGCCTTTCATAGCCGGGGTTATTTGGGAGGCTCAAACACAGATAATGGGCGAAAGCTTTGGTGGGCAAACGGAAGCTTTGGACACAGGCAAAGGGGGAAACCATGCAGGAGATGGCATGTGGAGTCATAGGCTGCATATATATATATATATATATATATACACACACACATTCATACACACGCACTAGATCATGATCATCTATCTTTCTACTTCTTTCTGTGAGTGCCGTTTACAATACTTTCTGTTACTTGATTAATTCATAATATTTAACGGCCTCAAATGGTCCCCCCCCCCCCCCCCCCCCCCCCCCCCCCCCCCCCCCCTCTGTTTATTTAGATCATGAGGTTATGAGGTCAGGTGACTTAATTTAAATGTTTTTAGCTGGTTTTGATTTTAAAATATCCTTTTTTTTTTAAATTTCCCAAACAATTTCCGGTGTATAGTCTGAGTGACTTTCTACCCTACCAGGACATCACACAAGCGATAAACACCCGATGACACAATGTACCACCATGTGGGTGAGGATCACGCGTGGAGAGGTCCCAGAAACCGCGTTTAGGATTGGATTGGATTTTTTACCCCACCAGGACATCACACAAGCGATAAACACCCGATGACACAAAGTGCCACCATGCGGATGAGGATCACCGTGGAGAGGTCCCAGAAACCGCGTTTAACCATTAGACCATATTTATGGCCTGGCTATATTGCGGACCCTGGCAAGAGCCAGGGTGGTGCTTCAGGCAACCCGGTGTATAGTTACAGTCTCCGGTTTATATTTACGAACAAATCTCCGGTGCATATTTATAGTCTCCGTTTTATATTTACAGGAAATCTCCATTTTATATATATATATATATATATATATATATATATATATATATATATATATATATATATATATATATATATATATTGACAAAAGAATCTCTGACGTATAGTTACACAAAATAATAGTTTAATATTTACGAATCTCTGCTATATTTAGACTGAAACTTGTGGTCGATATAGACGATGATGACGATTATTATAAAATGACATACAACTACACACTTCTTCTTCTCCTGTCTTCTACCCACAATGGAGCATAGGCACTCAGCCAACTCCAAGCCCTTCTATTATTTGCTATCGCATGCAGCTCCCCTTACATTCTTTTTTCTTCCGTCCTGTGGGCTCCAGTGCAAAGTCATTCTAGTTATATTGTTCTCAGGCTTTCTCAAGGTATGTCCTGTCCAAAGCCAGCGTCTTTTTTTCACCTCTTGGTCGACTGGAATTATTTTAGTTCTCCCTCAACGCTCTACATTAGTGACTCTATTATATCATGTAATTCCTTCTATTCCACACAGGCACCAGTTAATAAATATTTGCAGTTTATTAGCAATTGCCTTAGTTGTTGTTCATGTTTTAGCTCCATCCACAGTACTGGTTCAAAATTGGAATTAAAAATGTAAGTTTATATTAGTTCAAATGAAAATATAAAAAAAAAATTACAATTATTTCCAGAGATATCTATCTCGTTGTTTAAGAGCCATTTTCTCGAAACAAGGCCTTACTGGTTAGAGGACTTGGGCGTTTTGCCAAAGAAACGTTCTCACTATATATACTGGGTGGAACTGTTTCCTTTGTCCGGCTTTCTTATGACCATCCATACGCCAAAAAAGAAGCGCATGGGCATTCACAGCACGCTCAGCAGGCAGAACAGTCAGAGAAGCCAAAGGCGCCTTCTTCATGACAACCAGCAGCATGACGATGGAGATGATGGCAGTGACGCAAGCGTTCGCCTGTCTCGAAACACAAAACTACACCCGCCTATGTATACTCAGTGATTCGATGAGTATGATCTGGAGGGTTCAGGAAGGTTCAGTGCGAAGACAATGGCTTGAATCATTACAGAAGTCCACTGTGCCGTGGAGTCACCTTTATTTTTGTTCTGGGACACGCAGGAGTCGATGGAAATAAAAGAGCTGTAGGTTGGCTGGATCCGCTATCACTACCGACGGTCAGCCTATGGATCATGCTGATATTATCAATGCCCTCAGAAAAATGGGAAGGATAGAAGACTTTTGGGGCAGTGAATCCACATCACTCGCCAGAATGGCAGACTTGGGAATTAAGATCGGCATAGCAAAAAACAAGACGCACACCAGAAGACTTGTTAATCAACATAGAACTGGTACTATTAGCCATCGGACGTTGGGGTTCATACTGAGGGGAGGATCTGAGCACCTATGGACATATCCGGAGTGCAATGATGATAACCTAACTAACTAACTAACTAACTAACTAACTAACTAACTAACTAACTAACTAACTAACTAACTAACTAACTAACTAACTAACTAACTAACTAACTAACTAACTAACTAACTAACTAACTAACTAACTAACTAACACTCAC